TCAGCACATAAAGGTCACCTACAGCAAATGTCAATAATCACACTCTTTACAGTTTCCTTAAAGTTCATAATTTTACAGAACTATTTCACAGGTTACTAAACCAAACCAAATTACTTCTCAGCAAGAGTGAATTGGTGCCTTTCCTATATAATTTTATGAGTTCCCTCTGGGTCTTCTCTAGTCCTAGGATTTGAGCATTTGGCACACTATTTGAAACATGAACTGACTGTAAAGGACAGGAATTATTTGGATGTTACAAAAGTACAATATTAGATATTCTCCTCCAGGAATGGTTAAATAGCGACACCCTTTTTATTTGAAAGAGAAAATTCTTGGAGTCAAAATGCTCTTTGAGTGACTTCAGATGGAAATTTATCCCAGGTTTTCAACAGTACAGTTTAATTCAGCATGTTGGTCAGGCCTAGCACCTAATTTATCAAGGTGCTATGGGTTCATAACTCTGACTGAAATCCCTCAGACCTGCAAGGTCTTGCAGCCTTTATTAAGCAGCCGGAAGTGCTCATACAAAACTACAGACTGCTGCTCAAAATGCAGTCCAACAGTTTTTTGAGTCTTTCTCATGGAAAGGGCAAATAATACCATATCCACTTACTGTATTTCACAAAAAGAGGGGAAATGTAATGAAGGTTTGACTAAGGGGAATGTGATAGAAACGTCTTTATTTGTTCAATTTTACTAAATTGCTGCTTTTTTCCTCCAAGGCCTTGAAGATGGTAATTTTCAGCAAAAATTACATCCTAACTAGGATTCTTGGCATTGATTTGATTTGACTTTTTTTAACTGAAATGCTTAGAATTTAAAAACTATTTCCATACATGAGGGGTGATAAGCATGTACATCGTTTGATGCGTGTGCTGTAAGCCCATAATACCAAAAAAACACAGATACACTTGTGTTTACTTCAACATGGCATCACTCCCATGCAGTTTCTGTTGCATATCTTACACCAATTAAATCCCACATTGCTTCTTTAATAATATTCTTATTTCTCTTTCCTAAGTTTCAGCATTTAGGCAGTTGCAAATAAGGAACTGTTTTTCAGGATTCCATGTAGCATTTCTAGAACAAAAAGCTGAAGGAAAATTGGTTGCCCAACACCCAACCCAGGGGAAAGCACTGCCCTCCCTCTCAGCACCTGCTGAAAGCGAGCAAGAGCTATTGTAGTGATTACCAAGTTTCCTCTTGTTTATAGAATCTTCAAGGTTGTTTACCTTGGATTTATTTCTTGATCTGAATACTGAAAATTCAAAACAGTATTCAAAATTTCTCCAGTACTGTTGAAACAGAGAATAAGAAGCTTGTATTTCTTTCTGCGAATGAGGAAATGCCCAAATATTCAACTTTACTTGAATATGTATTCATGATGAGTATCCACAAAGTGGAAGTCTTAACAACTCTCACTTCAACAGTAGTTGTGTGAGTGTGTAAGAAGAAATTACAATGCTTCTTATATGGTGTAAAAAGAGATCTTACACATCTTAGTGAATCTAGTTTTTTTAATTTTTCAGCAGTGAAAATGTCTTAATATATTTTTTCAAACTAAATTTTTAATTCAATTAGTCTCACAACAAAGATATTTTTTATCTCTGTTTCAGACTCTATCCTCCTGTGAGTATGTTAAAATATTTTCTTTCAAAGGGGGCCTTTTGAAACCAATGCCTGCAAACTTATTGCTGATTATTGGTACCCAGATATTATGCCCCAGAAAACAGGGAATCAAGGCTTGTATTTACACATATTCTTAACTTTTAAATAGGTAAATATTTCAGCAATTTCTTCCTTCAGTTTTTGATATATAGGGGTCTTTACTCATTAGAAACAAAATAAAATGTATGTTCATGAATGCTTGCATATGAATGTTACCACCACAGTAAATTTAGAATATTGGTGTAATTTCAGCAAATGAAACAAAGAAAGATTAAACTAGTGTGGGGTTTTATGTCTCTTTAGGCAGACAGAAATCTTGGAAATCAAGTACCGCCGTAGCTCTGATGATTTTGTTTTTTCAATTCAGTGACTATTAGAAAAGAACTAAATTGAAAATTGAGTTTGAAAATACCAAAGAGGATAGAGGAATAAATAATATTAAAATAATTACAGTAACAAGAAAGCATACTTAATCCTGCATAGCAGAACTGCAGATTTTGTCTAATATACCACGAGATTTTGCCACAATAAATGGAGAGAGGGAGAGTTCCCTTGTTTAAACTGTTGTTAATGTTCCAGCAATGTTGTATTGACAATTTACCCATTATCTGTTAGTCATGACACAAAAATATCTTGCGCTTCCTCAGACCCAAAGGTAAAGCATTTTAATTGTGCAGTGCAACATTTTTTCTTGTACTGGCTCTTTATCAGGAATATTTCAATACACAAGCTACATTTTCATATAATTTCATATTTAATTGCAGTTATCATCACACCTTAGCCTGTGGCTATACATTTAATCAAGTAAGAAAACTCCCACAGACCTACTGTGTAGACAACCCCTGTAGAGTATGTTATGGAAACTCAGTCTTTATGAGAACAACTGATTAGTATCTGTGAATTCACTCTTCAGGGATAGTAGTCAGGATGTTGCAAACAAAAAATAAACTTCCCTTGGGTAATCCTAAGCACCAAGGAGAGGTGGCATTCAGAGATGCCACGAGCCCTTTGAAAGTGTGGCCAAGTAACACCATAAAGAGCCCTTTTCTAGATGATGTCTTGGCTTACTATTTCCTGGACTAAACTTCTCATTCAAGTTCATATGATGTGGACACTAAAGGAAAATAAACTCTTTCAAATCTGATGAAGGAAATGCTGAGAGGGAGCAACTGGGAATGCTTTCTAAGATCAGTCTCAGACAACAAACCTGGAGTAAGTTTCAGGCTCCAGTTCAGGACCGAAACTCAAGCCACCACATCCACTTTACCAACTGTCCTGCTACAGTCAACAGTATCAAGTGCATCTGATAGAAAACTTAGCAAAAACATTTCCTCTTCACCCAGAGTGATCTAGTCTGAAAAAACTCCCACTACCAGTTCAAAGCCCCTGACCCATGTAAGGGTTACAGGTGAAGCCAGAACTCCTTCTCAGGGTGAGGTGTCACCTAAGCTGTCAAATCCAAGGCTTTTAATTTTAAATACCCTGTTCCACTAACCCCATTTCCATATTCCTACAGAAAAAAAGCACAACTGTTCAGATGAAACATATTTAGACCTTAAAAGATGTATTCTTTTGGTAATATGAACTTTTTCCCTGACTTTTTTACAAGGTGTCCACTTTTTCCCAGGTGATTTTCTCCAGAGCAGGGCTGTTCACAGTAAAGGCAGCTGCGGCCCAAAGTAGCAGTTGTCCTGATGATACCTTTCCTCTTTATTTTCCTTTGCCTCTGCAGTTCTCATGGAGGATGCCACATGCTCTTCCACAAGAACTGTGATGGTAGTCAGCTGAGGCTGGAAAAGGACATTATTTTGTGTCTAGTATTTACTTTAGATCAGTACCAGCCCACTCTGAAAGCCTACCTTTATTTCCTCTGCAATGGTGTGCTTGGCTGAAGATTACTATTCCCCTACTTAGTAAGCAGCCTCCTGAATTGTGACAAGCATTTCAAGATAAATGCTTTTGAGTCCTACTTTTATCACAGTTTGAGTCCTAGCTTTATTTCCTGAATGGTACAGCTATACTCCAAAACCGTTTTTTCCCCTCAGCTATCTCTACACTCCCAGTTTGAACACCCACAGTTAATCTTGTGCAAGCCTCTAGCTATTTTTTGGAAAAGCAGTTTTGAAACCAGCAATCCAGTCTCATTTTCCATGATTTTAAAGGAGGTAACAGATAATTTCATACATGGGTAACAAAGGCAGGGAATGAGGAAAATGGGTGTCTCCTGTTCAGGGCTGCTGCGTTGCCATGTTTACAGCTCCAAGCAGGCTGCTGACCAGCCACAGCTCCATCTGTAAAATGATCCAGCTACTGTACTCTTGACTTTTGCAAGTTATGAGCAGCCACAGGAGATTGTGTAAGTGCTGGAGCAGCTGCAGAACCTTTCCCTCACTGAACTACTGAGGAGGCATGCCAGCTTGTTTGTGTGCTTCTCCACAACCTTTCACCTACTTTGGCTGTTTTGGCTGTACTGGGAGCCCCCAGCAACTTGACAGCTTGTGCAGCCGCAGCGTCGGGTGACAGAAAGATGAGAACGGGAAGATATGACCTTTGTTTTTAATGCTATTTCTGTCCTTTTTTCCATGTAAAGGGCCACATAAATATTTAGAAAACAAATGTATCAGTAGGTTAAAGTATCAATCCAATTCCATAAATGCAGACCCATCTGCAGGCGGAGGGCAAGTGATTTGCCCTTGGCACTGCAGGAAATTTCATGAAGTGCTGTGAATATGACTCAAGCACTTGTCACCAGACTGCTCTGCTTACTTTCAAAACTTCCTAGTGCTACCATTAATTTCCACCCAGACTTACTGCTCCTCCTGGGTTATCATTTACCCTTCCTACAGAAGCTGAATTAGAAGCTGCCTTTGTCCCCAGCAGAAAATGTTAGTCTGGTTCCATAAGAGAAAAAACTGATGATGTTGCCTGCCCACCTGTTCACCAAACTGTCCCTCCTAAGAATTTTAACCAAATTTGAATAATCAACTCCCTACAAACTGTGTACAAACTAGCAGGTGGTTTAGGGAGGAGAGATTAGAATTTTGCTACACACTGGATAAAAGGGAGGGGAAACTCAACCAGACTCATACTACTAAAGAGTAGCAACCACATCAGTAGACATCCCACACATTCTGGCTGGTCAGGAGAGGGCACTCATCCCAGCATATCCTATTGAGTCTCCAGCATTTGTTGGGTTAGGAAAAAGATCCTTACATTTTTTTCTGTTCCCACAGAGAAAAAGGAAGGGCAAAAGCAACCATGATACTTTTTTTAGACATCAGCAACATGGTCAGTTATTACACAGGCTGCCTGACCAGGAACACAGCTCTGACCTCAGTACAGCACGCTGTGTCTCCGGCAGGGGCAACCACACAAGGAACATGAGGCGAGAGACAGCTGATTGCAGTGGAGAGCTATTAGGAGACAAATGGACAGGAATCCAGGCTTCATTCATTCCACTCTTCTGGACCCATCTGTTGTGGAAAAAAGCAGAATGTTAATGCAGCTCCATTTTCTTAAGCACAGTCAGCAAAACGTTACTGTGACCAAGCAACTGCAAGTGTTGCTACTGCCTTTTCAAAACTTGCCCCAGGGCAGTTCAGAAGAGGAAAGTTAAAGGATATAATCAGCAGAAATGAGACCCCCTCTGATGAATACTCCAGAATTTGGCACTGTGCTTCATAGCCACTGTTCTCTGACACCTGCACTTATAACTGTCAGGTGTTTCAGAAGGAAGGTGAAATGGTGGTTGGAGAGGAAATAAAGTGAGAACACTGCTAAAGATAGGAGAGATGAAGGCATTATATGAAGTGGTTACAATTTTCACAGCCTAGTTCACCTGCATCTTGGCAGATGATGAATCCTCATAGTTGCATTTGTGCCTAAAACTTAGCTGTCTTGCTCAACATTCAGGACATCCATAACAATTACTTCACAGATATATAGTTTATATATGCAAGAATAGAAATTAATGTTGTTCAGAACCTCCTGTAACATATAACCATCATACAAAGAGCAAAGATCAAATCTGAATTATGAAGGAGACACACTTTTTTTAGAAGACCATTTGAGTAAAAAAACTCTCAGTTGTTGCACTGCTGATGTGTAAAATTCTTGTAGAAGTTTGTTTTGATTTGAAAAACACCCAGGTTTTGAGTTACTGGTGCCTTGTCCTTTTAACAAATGGGGAAGGCAACACGCTTCCTGTATTTCCTGAAACTACAATTTTACCTTTGTTCATAGCTAAATTGAATACGTAAGATATTTGTTCATACCTTACTGCATATAACTGCCAGGAAAACAATAAGAAAGCAAGTTGCTGTAAAGAAAATTAAAGCAAACAACAGAAATTGTTCTTAGTAGACTATTTCCCTAATCAGACTGCTCACAAAGGATATTTGAGTTACTTCTATTAAGCAGGCTCAGCACACCAACAGATTAAATAAAGCATCTCATAGGAATAGAAATAATGACTTTATAAACTGCAACAACTGCCTGCTGCAGAGAACTTCCTGATCCGGATTTTATTGCAAAGAGTTAATTTTGAGGTCCCTGCTTGCCATGAATTAGTGGCTAAGAAAGAGAGTGGAACTAAACAAAAGCTATCCTATATGTTTCACGGTTTAAACAAATGTGTATGATATTTTTATTTCTGTGACTCATCTGCAACTTGCAGTCAAACCAAGTTTAAACAGTCAAAAACAAATCTCAAATTCTTTACTTTTTAACTTCTGGAAAGGACAGGAAAAATCGAAGTCATTACATTTGCTGCTATTTCACGTCTAAATTTTGCTTCATTTCACATTTCAATCACTGTGGAAAACCAGAATATATCTCATGGAAAAATAACAGAATAATTCTCCCAATAAAATAATAAAAGAGGGAGCAATAAAATAATAAAACATAAAGTATAGCAGGAGTAGAACCATAAGTAGGGATAATAGATATACTAGGAAGGCAAAAATAAGATAAAGTTAAAAAAACAGTCTAATGACAAGCTAAAGTATTTTCCTCCGTCTATTAAACTACGTGCACACCTTTCTTGTGAGGAATTTGATCTTCCCTCCCTTGAAAAAGAGTTTACATGTTTGTGTGTGTAAATATATGCATATAAAATTGGACTGGAGAGTTGTATGCAAATATTAGGGCACAATTACTTTGTATTATTTTACTGCCACAGACCAAGATTTCAGATGTCAGAAAGCCCTCCGGTGACATTCGTTCCACTCTTCCATGCCTCACGCAAACCCTGCCCTCAGTGAAGGGGACAGGCCGTGGTGGGGAAAGCCGGGCAGCAGGGGAGATCCAAGCTCCTTCCCCAGCAAAGAGGAAAGGCGAGGGGGCTTTTCCCAGCTCGACTGTGACCCTGGGAGATGAGCAGTCCCTAAGAGCCCTGCGTCATCCCCTTCTTAGGGCAGCTCTATGACAGTAAATAAAGGCCACACGCTGATCTGGGCCCAGTGCGTCACCAGCACAGCTGTCCTCCGGTATTTGGTCACTATTAACCAGGTCACAGCCATGACCTACATGTCAACAACCTGAGGCTGGGATCTGATTTTGCTCCCTTTGCCTTCCACGCAGTCGGCCAGCCGACCCTGGAGCTACCCCGTCAGTGCCAGCATTGCAGCACCCCCTGTATGATTGCAAACACACGACTGCCCCGGGCACCATCGCACCCCTCAGGCCGTGCCATGGTGCCCTGCACCGCATCCCCCGAGCCCTGGCGCCCACTGG